AATAGGTACAGCGCAGCGGAAGCAAGCCAGAGCCCAGCCCCACAGCCTTACAAGGAGTTGTTTACTTCTAATAACTCCAACCGCTAAGTCATCAGAAGCAGGAAGCCAGCACCATTTTCAGGGTGCGGTCGCCGGCTCCCAACACATCACATTCCACCATCATTAATTACCCCATGCTCCCTCCCTTCCCCTCCCACCCCTTTGCCCTATCTAGAGTTCATCTATTCCTCCCATTCTCTCACTCTCTATCCCACTATGAATCAGCCTCCTTATATCAGAGAAAACATTCAGCATTTGTTTTTCGGGGATTGGCTAACTTTACTTAGCATTATCTTCTCTAACTCCATCCATTTACCTGATTTTATTATTTACATGATTTTATTCTCTTTTATTGATGAGTAATATTCCATTGTGTATATATGCCACATTTTTTAAAATCCATTTATCTATTGAAGGGATCTAGGTTGGTTCCACAGTGTAGCTATTGTGAAGGGTGGATTCTTTTGAAGGCTGAAACTTTGTTTTTTTTTTCTTTTTTCTTTCTTTCTCTTTCCTTCTTTTTTTTAAATTTTTTTTTTATTTTAATGGTACTGGGGATTGAACCCAGGGCCTTCTGCATGTAAGGCATAAACTCTACCAACTGAGCTATATCCCTAAACAGAATTTCCCAGATTTTAATGAGTTCACATGTRGGGCTTCTTAAAATGCAAATTCTCTTTCAGTAAGTCCCATGTGGGTCCTGYGATTTTGATTTTGCACCAAGCTCTTAGTGGTACTAATGTTACTGACCTTAGGAGCACACATTTACTATCAAGGTCTTAAGGTTCAGAAAATCAAGAGCAATCCTGATTCCACTGAAATTAGAAKTTTTGTTTTTGATCTTTGGAAAATAGCGAAAATTTGGACAGAACCATGGGAGGAGAAGAGGATGATTCATGGAGAATATAAAATATGATTTTTTTTTTTTGTAGCTCATAATGCCTTCCCACACTAGAACAAAGTTAGAGGATTTTTTTCTTTTTCTGTTCAACTTCTCCTATCTTAGCCCCGAACACTCCACTGACACAGTTATTATCTGACCTGGCTGTGAGTTATCTCCCTAATCCCAACCTTGAATTTACTCTATCAATAATCTTTTCAATCTTCAAATAAACCTGATTTCTTTCTATTATAGACATTGAARCAGGAATTACACTGATGCAGTTCTATTCATTTGTGTCCCATACTTCCTTGGAATTGGATTCTTATGTACTAAGTCTAATATGAGGTGGATAAAGAGGTTTGATTCCACTATCTTTGATGACAAGGCATATTTGATCATAAGACATAATAACAGTCTATGAAATGGCGTGACCCAGSATTCTCAAGGAAATGGAATCCTTGGAAGCCAGTCACCTTTAATGTAGAAAGTAAAATCTATGCCTAAAAGGCAAGTCAAAAACCTATATTTTGACATCAAAGAAGTTGCAGATCCACTGACAGTGAAGCCATCAACCTCCTGGGACCCACTGCATACTTGCATTATGGTAGATATTGTGAGAATCTAGAAAATATGTGGTCTCTGAAATTAGAAAGTGACAACTCAGAGGAAGAAAAAAATCAACATGAGAAACAATGGCAAATTACCATCAGACAGGAGGGACTTTGCCCTCTCAATTTGGCCTCACACCATACACAACATACAAAAAGGATAGACCAACACTGAATTACAATTTCAGTAATGATCCATTCACCATTCAAATCTCATCCTATGTGCTCTTAGCTACTGATCTTATAATTTATCCTGTTCTTTTGCTATTTGACCTCKTTGCAAGTAATCTCCCCAGTCCCAATCTTTACTTAATCTTGTAATCATTTTGGTCTTCCACCCCTTATCCTGCCTCAGGCTACCCTGACTAATGCCCACCTATGAAGACTGGCCTATCATTGAGTAAAGGCTCTCATAGGATAGATCCAGGGATTATGGGTACACTAAATGGAAATGATAATTAAGTTATGCCCTAAGGAAAGGTAGTTTGTCAAGYTGGGGAGAAACATTTATGGTGATGATGCTTTTCAAGCAGTGATACCAATAAATAATATGTTACAAAGGCATGTTGCAATATTAGATATATTCCAGGAAATTTGGGAATAAGAATAGCCATTTGAAGAACTGTTGTGTGCATACTCTTTCAGTGCAATGATACCATTGCTCTTCCATGTGTTTTAAGGCCATCACTATACTTCAGCTTGGTGTGCAGCCCATGCAGGATGGACCCTTGATATTAATGGTACCATATTTCTTAGAGACATATGTGATCCTTACTTTATGCCCTGATGATTATCAAGAATGAGAAGGTCCCCATTATTTTCAAGCCTTGGGCATTCAACTATATGAATCAGTCTAAGCAATATAATGAGAACCTGTCACAAAACAAAACATAAAAAGAACTGAGGATGTACCTCAGAGGTTAAGAATCCCTGAGTTCAATCCCTGGTGCAAAAATTAAAAAGTTAGCTTAAACAGTTTGATAAATATCTTWAAAAAATCACTGTGATTACAGAATCTCATATTCTTTTTGACTTTTCTTTGTTTTCTCAAAACACCATTTAGACCACCTCATTCCTAGGGAAAGTCATTGATAGCCTAGATAGATTAAAATTTAGAAGGACATATTCACTAAAATGTCATGTTGCCCAATAGACCAGGGCAAAATAAACTCAGAATATTCAGTTCATTTGGAAACCAAAGGCCAGAGAGAAAGCCATGCAATGACATGTGAAGAGCTAACCCACATGCTGAYGCTCTGCATCCATCAAAATGATGGAGGAGAACTCCCAGGTGGATCCCATACATAGTCCTTCAGAAGCCACATCTGTTCTTTTCACCAAGATGTGACCATACTCCAGCTTTATCAGCTGTCTCAAGAGTTTAAGGCCCATTTGTCCTTTCCCAATATAAATAGCAAGGCAAGGCCTTTTGACTTCACGTTGGAACACTATCAAAACTCAACAGGTGTTGGCCTCTGCTGACCTCTGGGGCCTTTCCCCTCTCAGGGAGGGGACTGTCTGCTCTTCCCAAAGGGATAGCCCACAACCTGACACCACAGAACGACAGCTGCCCTCCTCACACAACATGTGCCACCAAGGGGGAGGCTCAGGACCAACAGCCAAGAATGCAGGGTACCAGCAGTTCCCTTCTCATGAGCCACCCATGAAGGGAAAGAAGGAGGAAAAAGAAAGCTGGAACATGGGTAAATAAAATGTAAATCAAAGTTATTCCAAATGACTTTCACAGGGAAGGCTTGTGTGGCCTTTTGGCTTCTTTGGTTGTGAGGTATTAGCCCTCAAACTAGAGTTGCCAGATTGTTTTGCAGATAAAAATAGAGGATACTCACTATAATAGCCACTTTTTTGAATGTCGTATGCAATTATTGGTACATACTTATATTAAAACTATTTAAAATACAAATTTGACTGGATGTTTTGTTTTTCTGATAATATGCTTCTAAATCCAGTGATTTGTTTTGCTTTCTGATTCCTGATAGTTTTMCTCTTGAAACAAATAGTGATACTTTTATACCAAACCAAACTTTATTTCAAGCTTTTGAAGTAAATGGGAAGTCTCAGCCACAGGATCTCAATTACATAACTGAGTTTGACTCCCTGGATAGTGCTGTTCATTTTCTCTTGTTCACTCCAATTTTAATATAAGTTTAAGAGCTTTTCTTTGTTTTAAACTATCTTATAATTAACTGGTTTGTCACAAGAACTATGACAAGTATATTAAATGCTATTTAATTTGATGAATGTCRGTCCCAGGCTTAGCCAGGCATAATCTGGAAGGAGAAAGGCTAATGAGGTGGTCTGTCAAGAATGTCTTGCTTATTCTGCTTTTGATGGAGTATCATTACACAAAGAAGTACAAAAAAATATTGAAGTGGCTTGCTGTTCATCACAGTTATACAAATACTTATCCAGTGCTTATCATGTACCATCTTCTGGACTAGTCACTGACGATGTAGAAATGAATAGATCATTGCCCCAAAGTGATGACTCAGAGAGGAGACATAGAAGGGAGGAAAAATTGGCAGCATCAAGGAAGGCTTTGCCAAAGAGATGATGGAAACAGAAAATCTTCCTTTTGGAGAAAGTTCACCAGTGACCAGAAGTTTGGGGGACATGTGAAAAGAAGTCTGTTATCACAAGATTTTCCTAGAATTTCTGGCTATCTCCTATGCATTTGGGGAATTGCTTGCTTCCTTCTCTAGGAAATGCTATTGCATGCTAATATTATTTATTGATAAATTTTTAATAGTTAACATAAAACATATGGAACAAAGAATCTTATACATGGCATTGTAAGTCTGTGAGACTTCTGTAATTATATATAAGAAATTTATGGATTTGAATAATGTAAATTTTTATAGGGAAAACATGTTTATAGTTTTTTTTTAAATTTTCAAAGTGTTCTATGACCTCCCCAAAGTTAAAAATTTCTGTCATTATAATCAATAAATATATATTGAAAATCAGTTTCCTATACAGCAGTTAACATAAGTGTTAGTGAAAGAAAAAAAAGAGTTACTAGGTTCATGTTAAAATAATGTCAAACTTTGGAGAGAAAAAGTGGGAACATGCAATTGAATTGATCTATTTATTTTAGATTCATGATTCTGAAGAGATGCAGAGATTTCCTGTTGCATTAAAACTGATTTTCCAAARCTGATTTTTCCAATGAGAATCTACTTATGTTCACAGATTCCTCAGAAGATTTTAACAACTGTCTCAAATTTTCCTTTATTTATAATTTTCATATGATAAACATTGACTCATGAAAGCAACAGTTAATAAAATTCAGGGAAGAACCGCTAAAGATACCCAAATCTACCCTTTATCTTTCTTTTGGTTCTTTTAAAATTTTTCCATAATCTGCTTCTGAGAGGAAAATATTTGAGTAACTGTTCTGTCATTACAATGACCCAATGAGGCATAGTTGTATAAATTCCCATTTACACAAGAAGATATTGAAACTTCATTAAGTTAAATGGCTTACCGAAGGCAAAAAAACTAGAAARTAGAAGATATTATGAGTGTTGGTTGACATAATAGGATGAAAGCAGATGTGCATGCCATGAAATGAAGGGGTCTAGGCACAAAAGAGGTTTTGAGAATTGTGTTAGAGCTCCTGATTCCCTTTACCTGCTCTCTGGATTGCACATCTTCTAATAGTCTTACCATTATTGCCATGGTACACTTACTAAGAATTTACTGGGGTTTTTTTTTAGCAGTTTTTATTTTGTATAAAAATGTTACTGATTGCAATATCATAATTCAACATAATATAATTTTACATATAATTAAGTAATGAACCACAGTACCATGGTTTTTCTGGGCTTCAGATATTTGACAAAATAATCATTCTATGGAGCCAAATGAATCAAAGAGAGAATGATTTTATTCTGGTTCAATAGTGTRGGTTAGATTAAAACAAAATTAGCAAATAAAGATAAAGCCAAGMATTTGTTTCAATAGATTTTATTTTTTGTTAACTATTCAGGTCCAGCTGTAGATCACTGTGGTGGAGACTGCTAACACTCACCAAATTTCCATGTGCTTTTTACAATTTCCYAGCCCCCTTACAGTTAAATTGGAGGCCATCTGCCCAGTGCTGGC